TAAAAATAATGTAAACATTTTTATCATTAGTATCTTCATTATTTAAGATTCTTAGTTTATTAAACATTTATTAAGAATCTGCTGTTATTTAAACACACTTTCATGCATTTTTATACTCGGAATATAACCCCATTAACCAATCAACATGAGAACTGTTCAGAAGAGCTTTAATAGTTGATACAGCACCCTCAACCCCTTTCCTCACTTCTACATCCATTTCCATGACCAGGACTCCCCTCAGTAGGGAGCGGGCCCTGGAGGTGTCTGAAGGTCAGCTAGGAACTCTCACCTCACAGGGTTAAGCCATTTGCTAAACTGCAAAATGAAACTGCTCAAGGTAAGGTGCCTCCAGCTCAGGACAAGGCTGCTCAGCCAGCCAGGCAGCTGACAGTTTTTTGCTAAGAATCTGTGAAGTGTGTTGTGCTGGGTTATAAAGTGGGTTTAAAAGTGGTATGATATCTCTTGAATCTAGCCAGGAAGTCAAGATAAACTCTGGAAAAAGTCAGGTACCAATGTGTGATGAGGAGCTCAGTATGGTCAGCTGAGCCCAGTTGGGAAGATGGGGAGGCAAAGACAGCCAGCTACCTTCAGGGGGAGAAGGAAACACCCACGCTTTCCGATGAGCAAATCCTATTGGTCAGCAACATGAGCTTGCCTGCCTTATTTTCCTTAAACGGAAAGACTCTGGATGTTTCTCTGACTAGATATGTTTCAACTGGAACCACATCATGTGCCTGCCCAGTACTGGGAGGTTTAAGGGAAACCAGTTTATGGTAATCACTGGGGAAATGCCTGGTACTAGGAGGTTTAAGGGAAACCAGTTTATGGTAATCACCGGGGCAATGAAAAACAACATTGAGAAGTACTGGGAAGCTGATGGTGAGTCTGGAGAAGCAGAGAGACCAGAGGTAGAAAACTCTAGTTATGGCTGTGTGATGACTACACTGAGTGGCCAGATTATTATGATCTCTGAGTGCATAATAATCTGACCACTCAGTATATATAGATTAGAGGCCCCGTACATGAATTCGTGCATGGTTGGGGTCGGGCCAGCCTGGCCAGGGGGAGGAGACATGGGCGGTTGGCTAGCCTGCTTGCTGATCAAACTTCTGGTCAAAAGGACAATTTGCATATTAGCTTTTTATTATATAGAATATACACTGAGTGGCCAGATTATTATGCATTCAGAGATCATTATAATCTGGCCACTCAGTGTCTATGCAGGCATACTTAGTGCTGGGGAGAGGCTGAAGACCAGCAGTCCACTGCAGATCCAGTGCCAAACCTAGGGGTCCTGATGGGAACCCACAGAGGAAAGGAGCCCCCTGAGGCAGCAGTAGGAAGGGATAGAATTTGAGGAAAAGGAAGCCATTGGTCCCTAGCTATATGGTACGGAAGGTCTGAGCAGACAGTCTCTTTGATTTCTGGTATTTGATCCCCAAGATGGACCCACATAACTTTCCCCAAGAAGCTGGGAAACTTTGCATATTAACCCGGGAGAGTGTCTGTTGTCAAATATAATTTTCAAAACTTAGAAATATGATTCTCATAAAGATAGAACATGTCAACATTTTATTTCGCCTGTCATGGCAGAAACGAACGAGATGGTAAACTGATTCAGAGGGTATTTGAAGAACTGGACATTTATAGGTTTGAAAAAACAGAATGTTAGATTGAGATTGCTAGGCTATACACAACACCGAGCTGTGTCCTGTAGGGCAATATAACTGCAAACTTTGAGTCAGAAATCTACACGTTAGCATGTAATCTCACTGTGTCTGGATTCTAATCAGACAGCAAACAGCAGAGTGAAACACAAGGACGTCCTCCTAGAGAAGGAAATGCTCCTTGGAGGGCTGGTTCCCACAGTGCTACAGTGTGGCGTGGAGGGTGTGCTGCCCACTCCTCTCCCACACCCTCCCCACTCCTGCTCAGCTGCCTCAGCGCCAGGATTTGGATAGTTTTATGACCATTTAAAAACTACATTGGAGTTGAGGAAATCTGAGGTTGAATTCTAATTCCTTCGCTTACCAGTTGTGCAATATTGGGCAGGTAGTTACCTGTGACTGGATTTACTTGCTATAAATTGGGAGGAGCAAATGAAATAGTTTTTGTAAAGTCCCTGGCACATGATCAACAATCAGTAAATCTTAGTTCTGCTCTTTCCTCTTCATAAAATGAAATTTTTATTTTTTATATTTTTTTTATTTTTTTTTACCTTTTGAGTCTGGCCTTCATAGAAAAAGTATTAGTCATCACGTTGGGCAAAATGCTTTATTTACTTATGAGAAACTTACTGCTTATGAGAAAATGGAGAGACGTTCCTTAATTAAAGACGATTTCTTACTTTATATTCGGTTTTCTTTTTCTGAGGTTGGTAATGGGGTATTTCTTGTTGAAGTGTAAATATCAACCTGGGCTTTTTTAAAAATGGAGAGTTGGCTTCCCGAGTTGCTCTTCCGGAAGCCACTCGGCATTTCAATGTCTGCTCGGTGCCTGCTCTGGGTTGAGCTTTGCCAGGAAGGGGGGACGGACACACGGAAGCCTTCCAGGAGCCTGCTTCCTACTCATAAAGGTCAGCCGGGGGGGTTCACAGTGATGCCAGAGGGAATGTGAGCTGGTATCTGATATAGGAAGCTGGTCCTCATGCCTGATTGGGGTTTCTGTAGAGCAGAGTCTCTTCCCTCCTCCACAGCCCCTCACTGGCGTGTGCTGGCATGTGCTGGCTTGTGCTGGTGTGTGTTGGTGTGTGCTGGCATGTGGGATATTGACCTGTGATTCATAATGGCAGAAGCTGTGATATCAAGAGCCTCTTCAAACTTTTGACTTGGAGAAAGGAGTCTGTTTCTAGTTAGAAACTTTTATAGAGGCTGGAAAAGCATCTTGTTAGTCAACAGAGCCAAATATCAACAGTACAACGGTTGAAATTTCTTTTTTTTTTTTTTAAAGGTTATTATTTTTTTAATATATATTTTATTGATTTTTGTACAGAGAGGAAGGGAGAGAGATAGAAAGCTAGAAACATCGATGAGAGAGAGTCATTGATCAGCTGCCTCTTGCACACTCCCTACTGGGGATATGCCCGCAACCAAGGTACATGCCCTTGACCGGAATCGAACCCGGGTCCCTTCAGTCCCCAAGCCGACGCTCTATCCATTGAGCCAAACCGGTTTTGGCCAACGGTTGAAATTTCTTTTGAGAGCCAAATTTTTAAAAGTTAAACTTGTTCTAATGCCACTTCTTCAAAATAGACTCGCCCAGGCCTTGGTATTTTGTGGAAGAGCCACACTCAAGGGGCCAAAGAGCCACATATGGCTCGCAAGCCGCAGTTGGCCAACCACAGGCTTAGGAGATTTTACTTCAGTACTGGCTCATTTTTCTGCGAGGGGCTTCTGATGTGGCTTTGGGGGAGTGAGGATACGATGTAATTGCCTGACTCTGCCTCCCTCCTTTGCCGGACACGGTATCAATGTAGGTTAAAAGGTTAGGGACCCCCAATTCTGAACTCAGTCAGTTCTGCCACCTCTTACATTGCTGTTTCTTCTTTTTCATATTTATACAGCTTTTCCCTGTCCTGCCTCAAGAGAAAGTGCATGTGGTTTAAACACTGTTCAATATTAATGGTCACACAAGGGAACATTATGTAACCCTATTTCCTCATCTGTATGTCATAGTTCTTGATAAGGCAATGCGATCGGTGCCTTGACAGTCCGTGCTCCATTCATTCATTCATGCATTCATTAGGCAGCATGTATTATACTTACTGCACATCAGCTCTGTGCCAAGCCCCAGTGAATTTCCTGCTCACTGATCAATAGGAACCTGCTCTGATGGAGACAGATTGTAGCTACACAATCAACTAAGACTTTAGAAATTATGATAAGATTATGAATGAAATAAATCAGATGATGCAAAACTATAAGTAAACTGCTATTTTTAGTAATTTTAATTAGGGTTATCAGAGCCAGTCGCCTTGAAGAGGTAGCTTTATGTATTGAAAACAGAAGGAAGAAAATGGCCAGTCATGGGAAGAGCTGAGTGAAGAGCATTCTATGAAAGAGCGGACAATTCGGAGAGGTGTGGGATGGGTCTGTCTTGTTAAAGGAACAGAAACTCAGACCTGTGCCTTGTGTGGAGTGAGGAAGGGGGCAGCTGGGAGTAGGGGGACCAGTACAGTCCTTAGTTTGGGTGAAGGTGGGAGGAATGTGAGAGAAAGGTGCTTTGATGATTCGACCAGATTGTGGTAGGTCCTGGATTTGATTTTGCAGCTTTGAGGGAGCTTTGTGTATGTTTGAATTTGTGAGTGAATGTGTGTGTGTGTGTGTGTGTGTGTGTGTGTGTGTGTGTGTGTGTGTATGATTATGAGTTTATGTATGAGATTGTGAGTGCGAGTCTCAGTGTGGGTGAGCGTGGGGTGCATGTGTGGATTTATGAGTGGATATAAATGTGTGTGTGTGTGTGTGTGTGTGTGTATGCATGGATATGGGTTTTTCTCCTGTTGTAGCTTTTGAACAGGCCATTGGCATATTCCTATGTGGCACAGATTTACATATGGACCCGGGAGAAAGGCTGGTAGCAGGAAGGCCAGGTAGGAGGGGCATTGAAATCAGATGTGAAAAAGGGGCCCAGAGGATGGGTACTTGGCTAGCCATGGTGAAAGGGAAGACTAGATTGGGTAAATCCTGTTACTTATTTTGTTCTCTGTCTGGGATGAATGAGGCCGAGGAGTAAAAGATGATTCCATTAAAGAAGTCATATCATTCAAATTATCCCAGTTTGATTGCTAGCCAAGTATTTTATCAGCCTAATTATTTTTAAAAAAATTAAACCTCACTTAACTTCATATGCTTGCTTTTCCTGAGATGTTTCCTTAGTGAGAGTGGAGTGATCCCACTGCATCCCACCCAGACTGCCCTGCCGCTGCACACACCCACATGCTCGCCTGCTCATTCACCGTTCTTGGTTCTCGAGAAACTCATTGTATTTTCTGTTCCCCTCAGGACATTTTTGAAGATGCCTTGGAAACAATCTCTGGGTAAGTAGTACCATTATAAACAACATGTAGTGAATAAAAATGGATGGCTCTCTTATATAAATTTCCTTTTTGTCTTTTGAGATTACTGACCAGTGTCAGAAGGAAATTACTTTTCTGTAATTCAAGGGTTAGGACATAGCTGTGCTTAAGAAAGGATCTATCTGAAGTTGCTATAAAAAATGTTTTTGAGCATTATTTCTTATAATATTAATGAAACTAAGAGAAAAGTACATTTTCCAACAGGTTAAGGTTTAAAAATGTAAAAGTAAGGAATGAATATCTCCATGTGTGTAGCTTTGTCATATTCTTGAATTCTCACCAAAGATTAATTTCACAGATGTAGGGTCATTGAGTTAAAAGGGATGCATATTTGCATTGTTCTGTGTATGATATCTCAAGTTGCCTTTCCGTATGTTACCTTGGGCTACCATAAAAAAATATCACAGACTGTGGTTTAAGCCACAGAAATTTATTTTCTTGAAGACCTAGAGGCTGGAAGTCCGAGAGCAGGGTGCCGTCATGGTCAGGGTCTGGTCAGAGTACTGTTTCTGGCTTGTATGTAGCTGCCTTTGAGCAAAAGGGAAAGAGTGGGGGAGGGGGAAAGAGGGGAGAAGAGAGAGAGAAAACGAGAGAGAAAGAGAAAGAGAATGAGAAAACACACTACCTCTCGGACATCTCTCCTTAGGAAGGCACTAATCCCATCCAAAGGGCTCATTCTCAGGATCCCCATCTAAACCTGATTATCTCCTGAAGGCCTCATCTCCCAATACCTTTACCTTGGGGGTTAGGGCCTCCACATGTGAATTGGGGCGGGGCACACTTCAGTCCACAGCACTTTCAAAAGAGTTCTTATCCGTTTACATAGCTACCCATACTGTGTAAGTGAAGGGTTTTAAAAGGTATAATCACCTTAAATGATATCTAATCATTTTAGATTTTAAAAACTTTGTTTATCTTTGTTTGTTTATAACATCACATTTCTTATTGTATGAATGCTAGTTTTCTTTTCCTTGTTAACTATTTTTCCAATGTTTCTTATATACTTATGAACTTTAAGATATATATACACTTTAATCTTTTGTCATATTTGCTACAAATATTTCCCCTTAATTGCTGTTTTTCTATATGTTAGAGTTACAGATTTTTCTATTGTCCAAAAGTTTTAATGTTTATATTGTTGACTGTTTATATGACTAAAAAACTTAATCGTGACTACTATTTTTATTTTGGAAAAGTTTCAGAATTACGGTGAAGACAGTAAAGAGAGTTTCTGTATACCCCTCACTGGTTTTCCTTATTAACTTTACAGTGCATTAGTTACAGTTAATAATCCTATGTGAACGCATTATTATTAACAAAAATCCGCACTTTATTTGGATTTCTTCGGATTCACCTACTGCCCTTTCCCGTCCAGCATCTCCTTCAGGATGCCTGTTAGACTTCTACCCCCTGTCTCCTTGGGCCCCTCTTGGTTATGACTTTTTCTCAGGCTTCCTTGCTTTCTATGGCTTTGACAGTTTTGAGCCATACTGGTCAGTGTTTTGCCAAATGCCCCTCCATTGGGATGTATCTTTTTTCTTCTTATGTGTTTTGGGGAGGAAGACACCGGCCATCCTCATCACATCATATCAAGGCTCTGTGTTGTCAACCTGGCTGACCAGGATAGCACCTCTGGTCACCCGGCTGGAGATGGTGTTGGTTAGATTCCTCCCCTGGAAAGGTACCCCCTCCCCCCTTCTCTTTTCATGCTGTACTCTTTGGAAGATGATCTGTTTATGTGCCATTATTTTAAAAAAGTCACTTTTAGGGGGAACATGTCATCTGCCATCCAGAAATCTTGTAATTACCCAAGTCTGCGGCTTCTGTGCCCACTGTGTGTCCGGACTGAGCTGGGCTGTAAGAGGAGACTGCAGTCCAGGCGATGGAAGGGGCCAGGCTGTGGGCTGGTAATTGGAGGTCACCAGCCAAGGCTCCGCTGCTCCAGCGTGAGGAGACACACACACCAGAGAGAGGGGTCCGGCCTCAGGGATGAGAGCAGGTCGGACGTCCTTGCTGTGACCGAGGGCAGCCCATTTTCACTGTGTTTCCTTCAGTTTTTACTGGCTGTGTTACACTGGCAGAGACATGACCTTTGGGGATGTCTGTAAGGCCTTGTCAGCTATTTTTAACATTTATTGTTTTTTTTTAAAGAGGAACAAACAAACAAAACTCTGAACCTGACATCCAGTTTCTGGTTTCACATGTCAGGAGTTTGGAAGTTGCCACTGTTCTAAATGTGTCAATTAAAAGACAAAGATTGTCAGAATGGATAAAAAACACACGACCCAACTATATATTGTGTCTAAATATACATATAAGTGAAGAGAAACATATACCATGCTAACACTAGTCAGAAGAGAGCAGGAGTAGTTGTATTAACTTCAGAGAGCAGACTTCAAAGTAAGGCAAGTTATCCAGGATAAAGAAGGGCATTGCCTAGTGACAGAAGGGTCAACTTTCCAAAAAAACTTAATAATTCTTAATGTATATGCGGCTAACAGCAGAGCATCAAACTATGTGAGGCCAAAACTGATAGAACTGCCCAGAGAAATTGATGAAACTATTATCTCAGATATGTGTGACTTGAGTACAGCTCTCCGAAATGGACAGACCCAGAATGGAGAAAATCAGTAAGGACATAGTTGAACTAAAAATCAGTTAAAAAAAAAACAAACACAAAACCAAGCCTTCTGAACATAACTGAAGTTAATTTAAACCCCTCTCTCATGGAAACCCTAAATCCTCTAGCCCAGTGGTCGGCAAACTCATTAGTCAACAGAGCCAAATATCAATAGGACAGCAATTGAAATTTCTTTTGAGAGCCAAATTTTTTAAACTTAAACTTCTTCTAACGCCACTTTTTCAAAATAGACTCGCCCAGGCCATGGTATTTTGTGGAAGAGCCATACTCAAGGGGCCAAAGAGCCGCATGTGGCTCACAAGGCGCTCACGGCTCTAGCCCACTGTTCCAACACCATTTGCTAAGTCTGTGAAGGAAAGAAAATGTGTGTATGGTAACTCCTTTATCAAATAATCTCAGTAAAATAATAATGCTCTGTTTCTGGGCTTTTTGTTTTTTTCCCTTTGATCTATAAGTCTGTGTTTACACAAAAACTTCTCTTTGTTGAACTGTTTTAGATGTTTCAATACTATTATGATCGGTTCTCAGAACAGCATTCAAAAATGACCTCTGTGATGGAGACCTGCTCTATTCCTGTCAGAAACTGCTTGAGCTTTAAAATGCACAATTCCGGAGGCCTCATGTCTTGGCTTCTTTTATTCTAATGTCAACCATGCTGTAATTTTTCTCATCCTGAAACCGATAGTTGGTTAACGCTCCTTCACTTTTGTTTTCTTTTCCACCCGTGCCTCTTTCAGCCTCTCTTCCAGCCGTATTTATCTGCCGTTACCAGCATTTTCTTTTGTCTTCGAATTTTCAGTTCCTGTCCCGCTCAGTTTAGCAAATCCAGAGGTTTCAGAATTTTCTTGCTCTTTTAGGTTTCTGATGTGCATTATTTCTTGTGTCCTTTAAGAATGTCTCATAAACAGTTTGGTGTTTCCTTTTCAGTGTTGCCCAAATGTCCCTGGTACAGGCTCCCATCACTGTAGTTGTAGCAACACTTCACCCATAGAGAACCTCACCTATCTGAAACAGAGCCCAAAGCCAGAAAGATAGGCAAAGTACATTTTAGTGTCCATGATCTAAACTCTTGTCTTTAATTGTAGTAGAGGCCTCCAGCCAGAGACTAACTTCTGACCTGATTCTAATAAGCATTGTTTATGGCATAATTTTGTCATGGTTCTGAGAGGTGTGGTGAGGGGGTGGCTTTAGAAGCCAGTCTGTGGACAGTGGCAAACAATGGCCATGAAAGAAGGAAGAAAACATGACATGCAGTCATAGAACTCAAAAGCACAGCAGCCTGGTTTTGTTTTGCTTTGGTGCACACGAGATGTACCTTCCTAGGGACAAGTCCTTGAACTTCACAGGTAGAACTGAGCTCTAGTCCCAGCTGCCATAGATTGACTGGGAGGCCAGCGACCAGTTACTCTTGAATCTCAGTTTCTTCATCCTCTCTTAGATGTATTGGGAAGATAAACAATGAACTGTAAACGTGATTATAGGAGGAAGGCACCTCTAGATGCTCAGTAAATATTGGTATGTTACTGCTCCTCCTACCCCAATTACTGTCAGTCTATGGAGACACTGAGGGAAGTTTAAATGAAATGATATCCATTGTATTCGATTTAAAAAGGTAGAGACTTGTATCACATATGCTAAAACATTTCAGGATGATGACAAATGTATTAAAGTGGCATTTTGAAAGTTAGTAGGATACCCTTCACTCACAGGGAACGCTCACTTGGGTGGTTCATATAATTTCCCCAACACAGAGTGTGATGTTTCTGTATTTATATTTACTGCATTACTAACCTGTTTTTGAAATAAAAAAATGTTGCAGAAATAATCTCTTACTCAATATTTTTTTAATATATATTTTTAATTGATTTTAAAGAGGAAGGGAGTGGGAGAGATAGATATAGAAGCATCAGTGATGAGAGAGAATCATTGATCTGCTGCCTATTGCATGTCCCCTATTGAGGATTGAGCCTGAAACCCAGGCATGTGCCCTTGACCGGAATCGAATCTGGGACCCTTCAGTCTGCAGGCTGACCATCCTCTATCCACTGAGCTAAACCGGTTAGGGTTCAATATATTAAAAAAACAAAATTATGTGTGTTTTCTCTGATTTGAAATACATGTTAATTATAAAAAATTCATCTATTGTTTTTGTATGTGTGTGAACTGTTTGTTTTAATTTCAGGATTGGTCAATATTTTTCTTTCATTGCTTCCTAAATTTGTGATGCCATGACATTCCCTTTGTCATCCCTGAGCTGCTAACCTCACCAGAGCTCTTTTTTATTTTGCTGATTGAACCACACATTTTGGTTTTGTGTTTC